TATATATATACCAAGCATGCACAAATTAAGAGCACCCTTTGAATAACCTGCTGAAGAAAGATGTGAAATGGATTTGGACAGATAAATGTCAAGGTGCTTTCGAAGAGATCAAGAAAGTCTTAATGTTGGATTTGTCACTAGCTCATTTTGACCCTAAATTAAAGATTGTGGTTGATTCAGATGCAAGTGATCCAAGTATTGGAGCAGTGATACTACACAAATATCAGGACGGAAGAACTAAACCAATATCTCATGCTTCAAGATCATTAATTGCAGCTGAAAGAAGCTACAGCCAGATAGAAAAGGAAGCATTGGCCATCATATTTGCCATGAAAAAGTTTCACAAATTCATACATGTTAGAGAATTCATACTACAGATAAATCATTGTCCATTATTGTCCATATATGGATCAAAAAGGGTGTTCTCACACATACAGTGAATGCAGTGCTGGGGAACTATCCTCTTGAATTATAAAATGGAATTTCTACCATCCTAAAAATTAAGTCATGCAGACGGATTGTCTAGACTAATATCAAGTTTCTGCGAACCACTTGAAGACACAGTAATTGTGGCAATAAGGGCTGAAAATGAAATTAATAACATATTATACAATACTGTAAGAGAACTGCCCATAACATTGGCGGAAATAAAAATTAAGAAGGGTAAAAGTAAGAAGGTATAATGAAAATGAAGGAGAAATTAACTTGTATAGGAAAAAATATTATTGGAAATCCATTTTCATTATGCATGATGTACTTGTGTATGCAGTGAGAATGGTGATACTGGCATCATTGCAAAGTCGTATGTTAAAAGAATTTCACATAGGACATCCAGAAATTTCTAGAATGAAATCCTTAATGAGGTATTATACTTACTGGCCAAAAATGGATAAGGATATCAAAAATTTACTGACATCATGCAAAGGTTGTGCTATGGCAGCGAAATCACCACCTATCAAAATTTAACCTAGGCCAAAAACTGATATGCCATGGTCCAGAATACATATAGACTTTGCAGGACCTTTAAACAGAGCATAATATCTAGTGGTAGTTAATAGTTACATTAAATGGTCAGAAATATTAAAATGTAGAAGATCAACTACCATGGTAAGATATAAATTTCCTACACGAGATTTTTGCAAGGTTCGGTGTTCCTGACTTTTTTTTTTTTCAGATAATGGGACTCAATTCATGTCTAGTGAATTTAATTTTTTTTTTTTTTTTTATTAATTAGCAATAGAACAGATTACAACTCCCTCTTATTATCCAAAATCAAATGGACAAGCAGAACAGTTTGTCGATATGTCAGAGGAAGAGGAGTCAGGTGATTCAGCAATTTCTGAGTGTTTACAGAATAACACCAAACCCGACCATCATGTCTGTAATGTCGCCTGCCCAGTTGATGCTCACCAGGAAGATTAAGTCCATTTTCAATAAGTTATTACCAGAACGCAAGGCGAGATCATCAAGAAATAACAATACTAGTACATACTTTTTTTTAAGATGTATCGGCATGAAAAGGAATTCTGGGAAGATGACGTTATAAAAAAAAAAACGGATCGGCAAAATGACATACATGATACAGGGACAAAAGACGGAACATAAGCAACACCTTAATCAATTAAAACGTAGATTCACTGATTTAAAAAGTTCCCGAAAAGAGGTACCAATGGAAATTCTGCATGACACATTTAACGTACTCACACCATCAGAAATTGTTGAACCAAGGGTTTATGGCAAAAGAAAAAGAATGCTAACAGAATTTCTAACTATTGAACCAAAGCTGAAGTATAGACTCCAGGGGAAGTCATTTCAAAGGGGAGGTGTTATATAGGAATAAAGTGTTGCTGCCAACACTGGAGTTTGAACACAGATCACCAGAGAGCAAAAACAAGCGATCCCATTTTGAATAAGTAGCTCACGTGATGGTAAAGGAAATGTATATATGGGAATTAGCGTGGTATCTAAGTGATCACTATATGGATTACTATTCGGATCACTATTCGAGCGAGTATTATCGAGCAAGTACTATTACTGCAAGTGATATTTGACACCATTATTGTTCAACAGAATTACTATAGTTGTATCTGTGATTACAAAGTCTCTACTACAACAAGCATTATGAAAGTGACATTACAAAAGTGGCAATGAGTGTTGACATCACAAAATCTTTTTCCTTATACACACACACACACATACATATATATATATATATATATATATATATATATATATATATATATATATATATATATATATATATATATATAGGATCTCAATTTTGTGAAGTCCATGGGAACATCTGTAATAAATTTATGAAAGGGATAAACTCTTAGTAGCTGTACATAAACCAAGAGTTGTTGATTTTGCTTTTTAAAAATAATAATCAATTGTTGTCAATTTAGGAAGATTTTCTTAATTTTTTTTCTCTATTGTTAATGTTGCTTATTATTGATATTTGACAGATTCGTCGCAGAAGACTTGCTAGATTGGCTGGTTCTGTCCAGAGTTCCAGTCACTCCTCAGAAAAAAGTCATCGTCATGAAAGGGATAAAAGCTCTGCAGCAGCATTGGCATCTGCTGGAAATGACAATCAGACAATGGATGTTGACCAGGGTCAAGGAGCTGTTGCTTATCCTAAAGGAGCTGTTGGGGCAGCAGCAGCAGCAGGTACTATTTCAACATTTTTCTTCCCAAATGTTTTATGTTTTAAATAAATATTTTTAATATTTTATATATAATGATAATCATCATTTATAAATTTGCATAAGGTTAAATTTTGTCTGTGTGTTCCCACCTTACATCAGCAGATGAAACAATTTGTACTGCTAATTTATGCCTTATCAAAATTCACTTGTAAATTAGCAGAAAAAATATCAATGTGTTTACAGTTAAAAGGGGAACATAAAGTAAATAATTTTAGGTCCAGCAGTGTTAGTTATGATCTAAAATTTTTTACAGAATTATTTAAACAAGTGAAAAAATAATAAGTTTGCTGAATTAATTCAATTAATACAAACATTAGAAAATTATTCAAATGTTTTTTTTTTCATGGTCAGCTCTATGGAGCTATGACTAGAGTAAGAAATTCAATTGAACTTAATGACAAAAAGAATTTAAGAAAATAAGTATAACTTGCTTTTCTGTCTGTAGGACAGGTATTTGGCTAGTATATATAATGTTAACAGGAAAAGTACCTTTGTGTAATTCATTTTTTTCTCAACATAAAAAAAAATTGTTATTCTAAATATTGTCTGAAATTATGAGACTAATCATTATCAGGAGTTATTGGAGTTAGTATTGCTAAATATTATGTCTTATCTAATATTTACAATTAGTTACAGAACCATTGAACATTTTTCTTTTGTTAATTTTCAAGAATTTCTCAGAATTATATGAAAATAAAGTTAACATAACTTTTGGTAAGGTATCCTGTCCATTAATTGTCAGTTAACATTTTATTTTTCTCTTCAAGGTTTTTTCTCTCTCTCTTTTTTTTTTTTTTTAAATTATAGGTAGTGTAGGTGGTGAACAGAGTTCTGAGACTCAACAGCAAAATATGGATATAGATACAGAATACTCTTCAGATAAAAAGTGAGTTTTCTTTTTTCTGTTTTTTTTCCCTTATGGTTTTCAGTATACTAAAATGTATATGAATGGTCAATTGCAAAAGGATGGGAAAATTATTAATTTAACATGCATAATATATCTATTTTACATCAATATTCAATAAACCACTTGTACTTGTAATAGTTATTGTATTGATATATTTCTCTTACTTTTAAAGAAGGAAATAATAACTTTTATATAGAAACTAATAATTTTCAGTGTTTTCTAAGAGTTGAGGATTTTTTAACGTCATTCCTTGGAATAATATTCTAAGGTTATTGTAAATCTATTTTGATAACTTTTTGCATGGTTTTTGCACCAAGTATCTGAATATAACAATGTTTCCAGGCAGATATTGGTTTGTCACAAAGTATTGTTTGTAAGCAGTCTATTGACTTACAAAAAATATAAAAACACAGCAACCTTATGGTATAATAACCATATTCATTATTGATAATAAATGGAAATAAATATCTATCAGAAATAGTTTTTGTTTTGTTAACTCTTTTTTTTTTCTCATAAATTTAACATTTTTTAAAGTGGATACACTAAGGTTGAGTTGATTAATTTGCAATAGAACTTAAAACTGTGATTGACTGATAGCAACTAGGTGCAGTATAATAAAATTTCTTGAAACCTTTTGACTATGGTAGCTCATACGATTGAGTCATACTGACTGGCATAAGGTTTTGAAATAATTTTCTAAAGTCTAGATGGCTGCACTAACCATGCATAGTAAAGGTTTTAATGCTATGCCATCTGCACTTACATAAGTAGTGATTGATCTTCTAGTATGATCAACATTTTATATTGTAGACTAAATGCTATTTCCTAATGCGATGAAATGTACCAAGTTCCTTAAAAGGTATTTATTTTATTAAATCATTGATTCTTCAAGTTGCTTTAATTAGCTAAATCTTAGAGAAGTTGATTAATTTTTCTCAAGTTGCTATTGCTCTAACCCTTTCTGCTGTGCTTGTATATTTGCAACCAGTAAATATTTAAGTATCTGTTGTCACTAACTGAACAGCTTAACTTGTCAGATATTTAACCTCTTTTGAGAGTTGCATCTTGTCAGACATTTAACCTCCTTTTGAGAGTTCATCTGACAAGTCTACATTATTCCAGGTGTTGAATGAAATTCACATATTTATTTTTTTTTTTTCTTAAATTTCAGTAACCAGTCCCAAGTTGATGTTGATTCTGGTATTGAGACAATGGAGGTTGACGAGAGTGATAGAGTTGAGCACAAGAGAAAAAGAGTTAGTCATGTATTTTTTAATTAATTAAAATAAAAACTGCCTATAATTTCACATATAATTCTCACTTTTTGTCCAACCTTTCACTATTTTTACTCTTGAATTTTTTATTTTTTATTTTCTGTAATAAAACACCATGAATTTCAATTTATATTATATTTTTTATTGACTTCATGGATAGGTTACTTAAACATAATTTAGCTTATTTTAACTAAGCTGTAAACTAATTTGTTTGGACTTGAGAATATCTAATTTAGCATTTTCTTTCTTTATCACAAATAATTTAGCATGGAATCTGATATACAATAATTGCCAAGTTAAGAATCATTAACTAGAATGATTTTTAATTTAAAAATAAGATTCAGATAGATACAGATTGTATTCTGTGAAGTTTTCATTATTAATTCTAATTTAATTTTTTTCATCTATTACTGTAAATAGTTATTCAAACTGGATACATCCCTTAAAATGAATTAATTTTTGTATATTCATTTTAACTTAAATAAAACTAATAAAAAAAAATATGTAATTATTATTATAGTATATTGTTTGTTTTCATAATTAGCTTTTAATTATATTCTCCATACATTCTTTTTTTAATATAAACACATTCTTTATATGTAGTTTATTCAAAATTATTTATCTGAACTCTGAATTTTTTGCAAAAAACACTCTTTTATTGTAACATTCAACTTAATTTTATTATTCTTGTGTTAAAAACGTTAAAACAAATCTTGTATGGTAAATTAAAAATGTCCTTGAACTAGTCTTTGATATTTCAGAAGCTGTTTAAGTACATTAATTTTAAAATAGTATAAAATTGCAACCTCTTATTACATTAAAATACTTTGATTCACAATTAATGAATAAAAATGATGTCATATATACCAGCTAAAATTTTGCTCTTATTTAAGTGAAATATTACTTGCCTCTTGAAGCATTGTAAATTTCCTTTTACTTTAGGGTAAAAGATATTTGCTGATCAGCATTTTTTTTTCTTTTGAATGCATTATCTGAGTAACTTGCAATCTCTAAAACTCAGCACCATACTATGTTCATAAATTTACAAGAAAACCCATTCTATTTTGGTTTCAAAATAAACTTTTGTTGATTCATTTGAAATTATTTTTAAGCATTTTATTATTCTTTTAGGATGCAAGCTTTGGTTCAGATGCTACAGAAACCCAAGTGTTAAACTCCATAACTCGAATATTCTTTGTCTCTTGGCGTGAACAAAGAGATCCTGGCACATTACATATACCCTGTCTTGCTGAAGTTTTCAATGAACGTAAGTTGCATATTTACTGCATATTTTTTTTCTTTTATTTATTAGTACCAATGCTATTGGACTAGTATCAATTAATTTTGTGCTCTTCATATTTATAGACAGATGAAGGCACCTTCATATGTCTTCATATCAGAGTTTAATCTGAAAGTATTCAGGATATGAGAGCTAATGATATTTCCTGCCTTCCTTTTTATATTACTTTCAGCATTTTAGGCTCAAAAGATTTATTTTGCACAAAGAATATTTTTGTACTCTGTGAACTTGTTTAAAAAGTTAAGCTAGACCTTGACATTTCATTTTTTAAAAATTTTTTTAATTATTTTATCAAGTCATATTTAGCTAGAGTTTGAAAAAATTGTATGAATACATATAATTATGAATCAAGAATTATGAATTCTATCTGCAGATTTTAGATTTGGAAAAACTTTAAATTTAAAAATATATGCATATACATAGAATTTTTTTAATAAAAAAGCTGTTTTACAATTTTAATTTTTCTACTCATTTTGTTTTTCAGAAACGAAAGACTACAAAGAAATCATCCATCAAATTTTGATGGAAACATTGTATCTAATTTACTCAAGTGCGGAAAATCCCATTACTGCTTTAAAGAATGATGCACCAGCAGTATCACCTGTAAGATTGTATAGTTCAAATCCTTGTAGGTTTGTATCCACTGTAAATAAATCACTTTAGTACATGTAAATAATTAAAACTAATTTCATTTTCACAAATTAAATTCTGCAATGTATTTTTGTAGTATGAGTCCATTGATGTCACCAGAACATGAAAGAAAGTTTACCTCAAAAATTCAACCACAGAAGAAAAAGGAAGTTGAACTTATTAACTACTTACTTGATTGTTATGAAAGTGTGGCTGTTGAAGAAAGAACTAATCCAAAAGTAAGTCTATTTTTATTTATCAGGCTTCAAACTTGAAAATGGTTCTTTATACATGACAACTTTATTATATTTAGCTTGTAAACATATGGTTATTCATCTATATGGTAGAATGTTTTCATTTAGACTATTTTTTATTGAAATAGAAGGAAGATTATATTACCCCTATATCTGTATCAGTTTAAAGAATACACATTTGTGTAGAGACTTAGCAGTATTCAGAATTTTTCCTTTGCAGTTTTAACTTTCATTTTATGCATTATTTTTTATAGAGCTGAGATATATATATATATATATATATATATATATCTGCAAATACATTTTTTTAAATATGTTTGCTTATATATTTATGACTAATTTTTTTTTTTTCAATATGTATTTAGTTTCTTATCATTGCTTAATTTTTATTTGAGAATTTTTCCAGTATGTAGAAATCTGGACAAACACATCAACTTTTAAAAATAATGTCCTTATAAATTTTTTCTTTTTCTCTAGAGAACCAGTATCCCTCCTTTGAGTGAAGTGCTATCCATTGCTCGGTTACAGTGTGTACGTTACACTGCACTAGTGTTGCAAGGAATTCTTTTCGCAAATAGGTGTGCAGTATTTTACTTATATATATATATATATATATATATATAATCTTTTTTTAATCAATCCAACTCAAAGTAAATGTTTGAATCTATAAAATTGAGTGAAAACTAATATTTTAATTTTAGCAGAAACCTAGTGAAAAAGTTAATATAAATAACTATCCAAAGTAATATAAAATTTATGCAGTTTACAATAACTATAGTTAATTTTTTCCTAAGATGAGTATTTTTAGTTTAAACAAATTTTAAAATTGTTTTTTTCTATTTTGTGTTGTTTTTATTTCTATTTTTACTGAAAAGCTATGCATTTTTATTTAAGTTTTTCTAATCTTTCCAGTTTTAAAAATAGATCTGCATTATATAAATAAAGAGTAATTAAAACAAAATTAATATTCATTAAAATAATGCATTTAAATGTGTAAATGTTCAGAGTTTCATTTTATATTTATAATGATTTTCAAAATCTTTCTTGGGTCACATTTGATTGGCGAAAATGTTTGTTTTGTCATAAAGATAACACCAGGAGCTTGTTTTAATTGTCGTAATTTTGTTAAAAATAAAATCCTTTTAAATGTATTGTGATTGCATGCATTTTTTTTTTTAAATTGTCAAAATTGGTAGATTATTATTTATTGCTTATAGCATTAAAGATGGAAGAAAATAACATTTTTGGCATATTGTTCTTTTTTAATTTTAAGGTAAAAATATGTATCAAACACTAAAAAACGTTTGTGAATTTTATGAAAAAATTATTGTGAATGAATAAATGTATCAAATGTGGTTCATACAGTAAGAAAATATCATGATTTCATAGACCAGCTGAAGTTAATAATAATTGAATGAAGACATTACTTGAAAATAATTAGTGTTATAAAAAATGTAGTCAAAGTATCCGAATCAGCTGTCGAAAATCATTTACACCAACTTAGTTATGTTAGTCACTTCAATGCGACTTCAATATAAGCAGAAAAAATGTACTGGACTGTATTTAAATGTTCTGTTTTTTCGTGATGGGTGATGAAAAGTGAATTCAACAATAAGATGCAAGATTGAAATTAACACCATTAACTACACTAAAGGCTCTTCTTCATTTAAAGAAAATGGTGCTGTATATTTTAATTGGGAATTCTCAATTGTTAGTTCTTTCTGAATGTGGTTGTAAAGAAAAGACTGTCAACTTATAGTAGCAACAAACGTGTGCAATAGATTTCTTCTGTCTCTTGACCACAACACTTGTAGCCAAATCACAGTTCAAACGATAGCCCGTCATAACAGTCCAACAAGCAGCATAGAAACGACAAAATTGGTGTCACACGTCAAACCTTCACTTCTCACCAGCAAAAACGCATGTTCATCTTTGAAGCTCAAAAAATCTCCTGCCTTTATAAGCGAAAAACAACAGCTTTTGTTCACCAAGAGATCTTTCTGATTGGTCATGCCGTTCAGGGGCAGGAAGAACATTAGCATAGATTCTAGTCATTGAGGTAGATTTTTTTGCTAACTACTTTTTGGTAATTTTTTCTTCGGCAGATCGCACACAAAACACAAACTCTTTTTCGAGGTAGCTGATTATCTCTTTCACTACACTCTAGAAACAAATGATGGAATCAAATAAGTACTATTTAACCAACTGAAATTAATCTATAAAAAACATTTGCAATTAGTTAAGAGAAAGGACACAAGATTTTATCAAGATAGCACTAAACCACATGTTGGAAAGTTTTCACTCATCTACCATATCAGTAGATATTGCACCTTTTAATTACACTTTTTTGATGACAAATTTTAGTTCTCTGAAAGACTTTTTGCATCCAGAGCAGTTCTTTGCTCAGAGAAATTAAATGTTCTGGAAGGAGATATGAAACAAAATGGTAAATATATTGTTCAACAAAGTCAATGTTGAAAAGGTAATTGTAATCTTACTTAAACTGAACAAATCTTTATATGTTAGTTAATATTTGAACATTCACTTTTAGTAAATATTTTTCTTAAATTTTGAATATAATAAAAATGGACAGTCATAGTGCTATAAGAAAATTTAAAATTTTATTAAAAGATGTGTGTATATATTTAGATCCAAATTGTTTCTGAATATTTTTTACCCCAGATCTGAAACTGCGTCCACATTGTTGCTGCCATACCTCCTCTCTCACAATCTTCCACGGGAATTTCTTTCACTTCTTGTCACTACACTGCCAGATAAAGAAAGTTTAAGAAAGGTCAGTAGTTTCTAATGAAATGTAATAGGCATATGAGAAGTTTTCAAATTGTTCTCTGCTTTTTGTAAATATTATATATTTTATTCTATTTATATTTAAAGGAATGTTAATCTGTTCAATGTTAAAGGACAAGAAGAGAAAATAATAAGAATCACATTCAATGATTTATGCACTTGTAGGTATAACTTATAAGAGAACTGTTGGTCAAAAGGATTTAAATTTATTTTGGTTTTAGGTTGGCCAAAAAGCATTGCAGTTTGATAAAAAGAAAATAATTTTGAAATTTTAACAGACCTTTTTATCTTAATTTGAAGAGAAGACAAAAATATTATTAAATATTTGCACAATTAAGTATGTAGTGGACTTCAATGTAATATATCAAATATTACTTTTCATGTAATGGGCATGTGGCCAAGTGGTTAGAAAATTCACTTTTTGACCATAAGACCCGGGTTCAAATTTCACCAGAGTCAATTTGTCAGGAAGGTGACTTCTTGTTTTATTGGTCTGGAGGAGATGATCCCTGCATGAGGCACCTTTGGAAAGTGCCTGAAAACCATACCACAGGTTGATCCAAGACTTGTGAGTGAAATTGGGTAGGCAGAACCAGGGTCGTTAATGGCTGTGCTAGCACAAAGTCACAAGTCCTTTTGACCAATGGTTTGAGAGTGCTGGTCAGATTGTTGATCCTGCTAGATAACATGCTTCTCTCCCAGAAACTGAAATTAAGGTCTGCTCAGCATAGTTGCAGTATAACCTACAGGTAGGCTCTGTGGAACAAACACAAAATGCACCTGAGCAAGCATCTATAATAGGGATTAGCTAGCTGCCCGAGTAGATGAGTATCCTCGAATTAGAGTGGCCAGCCATTAACATTATTAATTAACTTTTCATATTACAAATAACAGATCCCTTAGTTGATAATTTTCATTAAATCAGTATCAATGTCTTCATCCATTCATTGATGAACACCAAGATAGAAAATTTAGTTCCAAACCTATCTGAAAATATTTTTTGTGGATGATCTACCTGAGATTCCAATCAAGAATTGAACACTATTCCCAAGTGATTATTATTTATATTTAACAACTTTGATCATATTACTACTCTATTATATTGACTACTTTTATCTGTTAATAGATTTTTGTGCCTATCATCCACCGTCTTGGTCAGTTGGTCTCCTGTTTATCACTGGATACTGATGACTACAAAGAACCCTTATCAGTTCTTTCTGAATTATGTGAAATTAAACTGTCAAACAACTGCCGGCCAATTTGTTCTTTGGTAAGAACTATTATTCAATTTCTCACTGATATATTTTTCATTTTGCTTAAATAAATGTAGATGGTTCTTATCCAGAGATTTTTTTTTCCAAGTTTATACTTTATCAAACAATCATCATATTATCCTCAAATTAAAATTATTTAATATATTTTTATAGGAGCTAAATCTTTTTTAATCTTTTATGCTAGATAGTATTCACCTGAATATTTGTAAATTCCTATATACAAAAAAAAATTATCCTCATAAATGTGAACTGTCAAAATAATAGATTTACAAAGAGAAACACTTTACAGAAGACATGTCAAACTGAGGGTCACACATGTATTGTCATGAGGGTCATACACAACAACCATTTGTGCACATTACAACTAATTGGAGTCATTTAATAAAATTTATTGCAGAATATTTTTGTTGCATAAATTTAGAAACACACAATGTACAAACAAATGTTTTAGCAGGATTCATGTATACAAAATAATGAAGTAGTTTGATAAAAAAATTTAAACAACATATACTTACAGTTTTCAACAGCAACAAATACATTTTACAAAAAATTACAACAGTTGAAAACTGAACATTTATTTGCTACTATTCAGTTACTTTTAGTTATTTGTCCTGAGGCTTGACACTTTTTTTTTTTTTTTTGTTGAAAATATTTGGTATGTCTGGCTGAAATATCTGTGCAGTTGTAACTTTGTTCAGAGATGATAAATACTATTTACATTATTCGGACTATTGTCCTCATTTTTGTTGCCATATTTGTTACAACATTTCAGCCATTGTATGCTCTGGCCTTCTTCAGGCAGTTGGAATGTTGAACTGAATCCTTTATTTCACTCACTGGGGTAGACTGTTCTAGTTGCATGTGCCATGTCTAATGGATGTCAGTTATCAGTTATCTCCTGTTAATTCACCTCTCCAAGTTCTCCAACCTTAACCAGGTATTGAACTCTCAACTCTTTGGGTCCTGTCACTGGATCTAACCAATGCCTTTATCCACTGTGCCTGAAGAAGGCCGGAGTGTACAACGGCCAAAATGTTGTGATAAATATGGCAACAAAGATGAGGACAATAGTCCAAATAATGTAAATAGTGTACATCACACCTCATCTCAGAAATATAGACAGATACAGAGATGACAAATGTTGATCAGTTACCATTGTTCTCTGAGGAACTTTTGATTTCATGAAAGAAAAATAACTGTTCATACACATAGGTAGAACCAAACCTTGGCATAATCTTTGTGTCAAACTTTCTGAAATTTTTAAAATTTTCAGGAAGGTATGAAAAGAACCCAGGTATTCCTACTTGAAGATACTTTGCTCTGAATGTAGAATCCACCTGCATTTTTAATAGTTTTATCTGTAGGATTTCTTCTGTCTTGGCAACATCAAAGGTGAATGATGCTGAGAATAATGTAAACTGATGTTCAAAAGATAAGAAATCACTAAATCTTTTCTGAAATTCCTTTGACAATAATTCCAAGTGACTGTCATACTTAGCTTTGCTAAGTATGTTCTTGATATTGGCAGTGTTTTTGCACATAGGAAAATGAACTAAATTTTCATTTGACAACTCTTGACTTCTATAAGTGTAGTTTTGTAATGAAGCACTTGATGTCATCGTGTGACTGTGTGATAAGTTTATTTTTGCCTTGTACTTTCAAATTAAGATCAGTTAATTGTGCAGTAATATCCACACCAAAAGCCAGATCTTGGAGCCAACTTTCATCTTTTTTTTATCTGTTTTGATCTTTCATCTCCAAAAACATAATTATTTCTTGTCTCAACAAATAGATTCTTTTCAGCACTTTGTGACAACCAGTGGACTTCTGTGTAGAATGGAACATCAGTGAACTGATTATCCATATCTTTCAACAACTGACTGAACTTGAGAGCATGTCTTCTGATATAGTTCACTGTCTTTGTAACCAAATTAAACACATGAGCCAATTTTAAAATCTTTGAACACAAATTTTGCTGATGAATATACAGTGAAAATGGGCAAATGACGAATCTGGATGCAAGTTTTCTAGTTTTCTTTGTAACTTGGCAGCAACACTATTATGTTTGCCAGCCATATTTGCAGCACCATCAGTAGATAAGCACGTAAGTTTACTCAAATCAAAACTATACTCCTGTAGAACCTGCTCAACTCTTTCAAAGATGTCTTGATTTGTTGTAGTGTCATGCATGGGGACCAGTTCAATCAGTTTTTCATAAATATTAAATTCACTGTCACTGGCACTGATGAAGATTGCAAGCTGTGTTATTACAGTCATGTCAATGGTCACATGAATAGCAAAAGAAAAATGTTCAAACTTTGATGATAGACACTTCAACTGTTGTTTCAAATCACCTAACATTTCATTAATCTGATCAGCAACAGTGTTCCTGGTTAATGAAATGTTTTTGAATTAAGTCTGCTTTCTCTGGACATACAATTTCAGTTGTTTTTACAAGGCTTTATGAAATCTCCTTCACTGTAAGATTTCCCACTCATGGCTATCAGTCAGGTTATAGCTTGCAATAACAGAAGTGATATTCTCTTTCTGAATTTTCATAAAAAAGGTCTGTTGCTGTGTCAAGTTACCCATTCATTCCTTGAGTTTTGGGTCTTCATATTTATCATAGATAGTTTGTTTCATAACGTCTGCAAAGACGTTATGAAACAAACTATCAGTGTGGCGATGGAGTTGTTGCAAATTAAAGAATCTATCTTTTTATTTACTATTGTGCAAAAATACCATAATTCCCACTTTTCTTGAAACACTTGCCCTTTGTTTAATTTCCTTTTCTCTTAGCTGGAGGAGCACGAGCCATTTTAGGGTTGAAGTAATAGGAAAAAACTAATTTTCAAAATTAATGACGTGGAATCTGAAAAATTTCTGGCACATTTAAACTACAACAAAAAGAGATAAAGCAATTTTGATAATGCCTCTAAAACGTTTTTTGGCTTTAAAAGCAAAACCTTTTGAAATTTTGAAAAGTTTTTCTGTTTACAACTGTTAATGAGCTGCCATCAAAATTGTGTGACGGCTGCTAGCATGGCTGTTAGTGAGAATTTGTTCCTGCACTATTTTCTCAGCCATCAAAAATGTCTAATATTTGCTACAATTTTTAAAATAATAGCTTAGTACCATGCTAACTTAGTCTGTTGATAATATTAAAATTATTTTAAATAAATTTAATGAGTTAGTGAGAATTTGTTCCTGCACTATTTTCTCAGCCATCAAAAATGTCTAATATTTGCTACAATTTTTAAAATAATAGCTTAGTACCATGCTAACTTAGTCTGTTGATAATATTAAAATTATTTTAAATAAATTTATGCAATAAATGGTATTCTTATTTAAAATAAATCAGAATGTAAAAAACGTGATTTATTTTCTTTTGAATCATGTAAGCAGTTGAAATTAGTAATTATCTTGTTCATGCATTATAATACAGATATTAATTCATTAAAAATAATACACACACACAAAGACACCTTTTATTTGATGCTCTACTTTTGCTAAACTGTTTTATATGATGTATTGTCATTTCAGATGGTGTCTCAGCTAAATTGGTTGCCAAAGGATGTATCAAACACAACTGGTTTGGAAATGGAAAAACTAACTCTGCTTGGTCCTTTCCTAACACTCTCTGTATTTGCTGGTGATAATGTAAATATTTTAACTCCTTTTTTTTTTCTTAACTGCCACTGATATTGTTGGATCACAATTTCTACTTTAGTACTTGAATAAATTTGTCAGACCAATTTCATTGCTAGGATCAACTTTTTGATAATTAAAAGATATCATATTTTAAAGTAATAAAAAAGATTTAATGTTAAGAAATTAATCTTAGATGAATAACTATTTGTTTTCACTTATTTTAATTTTTTTATTCAAAAGGAAATGGATTACTTTTATTTTGTAATATAAGCATTTTAATCTTTCAGATTGTTTCACAAGAGTAAAATATTTTTTATGCTTCTATCATTAACTGATAAACTTCTGCCTTGAAATTGTCATATAGATTATCTGTAATGAAGAAGAAAACTTACTGAACAAAATGCCTCCATGTTGTATATAGTATTTGCTGAATCTAGGAACTGGCAAACTTGGATTTTCTTTCTAGCTCTCTTTAAACTCACACAAATTTTGTTTGACCCATTCTGGACATTTTGAGTATATACAAGCTCTTGTTTTTTTTTTATTTGTTTTTTTAAAGATGAATAAACATTTCTTTTGAAGGTGTAATCTGGTAGCTAAATTCCAGTATTGTCTGGCACTTACATTTTGAATTTTCACTGTGTCACACATTATCAAATCTATAAATTTAAAAAATTGGCAGCCAAACCATCTGATCCTGATATATTATTTTTACCAAATAGTTAAAAATAAAATGTTGGTGTCTAGTTAATAACTTGTGTAAAAAAAAGTCAATTACAAATTTATAGCTATTTTTCTATAGATGAATTACATATTTGTTAATAAACATTCCATATTATTAAACCATGTTTACATTGTCTTGTATTCAAATTTCCTTTTTACTAGGTAAAAGTTGTTGAAAAGTATTTCTCTGGTCCACAACCTACTCAAGAAAATACTCGATTAATTTATCAAACTTTGCAGCATGGCTTAGAATATGCCAGAGTAAGTTTTAATTCTATTTGAATGCAGTCCTTTTTTTTTTTTTAATCTCTGATTTTAACTTTAGAACATTATTGGTTTATTACTAGATTTGGTTATAACGTATATTTCAGTCAGTATTAAAATTTTGAAAAGATATTTGAAAAATCAATGTTCAAGAATATATTTGAAATGCTAGCTGTATAATTAGTGTGCTTTTGGAAAAGAATTTTTGATCAAATGCTAAATTAATAATACAATGTTTAACTTATATAAAGTACTGCAAATGTTAATTCTTTTAAATATTTTAAAAATAAGTTTTCTTGACATTTATTATTTTTCATTTTCTTCATTAGGCTGAACAGTACAAAATAATGCATGCTATCCTTGTGAATTCTGAAAGCAGAGATGCTGCCATGAAACTAATTGAAAAATTTATTGAAAGGAATGTGAAGAAATCTCAAATTCAGGTTAAGTATCATTAAAGACACATATTGTTACTCACCTGTCTTTTAATTTTCAGTTTATCTTATTCTTTTCATTATTTTCTTTAGTTACATGTTTCATATGCTGCAGTTATTTGAACAGAATTTACATTATTTAACTTCTCATCCCAGAAATTGAGATGAAGCTGAAATTAAGTCAAGTTTGCAGAATCATACCTGTTAATTTGTCAGTGTCAAAAAATATTTAATATAGCAGGATTAATTTTGACTTTGAAAGTCAGTGTTGGTTGTAATTGTTTTTTCTTTATTATTTAAAAAAAATATTGAAGAGAACTTAACAAATTACTCTGTTTTGCACCATTCATAAATATTGTATTTTGTATCTCAACTTTATATTTTTGTAATTTTTTCTACTTGTTGATTTCTTTGAAAATAACAATTTTTTTTTTTCACTCTGTTATCATTTTAAATTAATGGATAAATAGCTTCTATATTTGACCTGTCCGAGCTTTGTTGATGACTTTTCAGCTAATTAATTTTTACTGTCTGAATTGCCAGTTCTTCTGTCTGAATTGAACTGTTTTTCTTAAAATTTTATTTTATAATATTTATCTGAACTTGTTTATGTAGGATTAACTTGACGTATATCTTACAAATCCTTATCTCTTGTTTCTCAATGTATACATAACTAATTACTTAATCAGTTCAACACTATCACTAATATTAATACAAAACTATATTGATAATACCTTAACTGCTATACAATTGTTTTCTCTTGAGACCCTGTATGAATAAAAATGTTAACTCTTGTGAATATCCGGATAACATATTTCTTCTTACAGGTTGATGAAAGATATGTAGCTGGAGATGGTTTTATGTTAAATTTACTTACTGTTTTACAAATGTTATCCATGAAGATCTCTTTGGATAAGGTGAGATAATTTTCTCTTTAAATTACAACAAATTAACTCTCAAAACAATTGTATGTGAATTATTACATTTAGTTTTGTACATGTTTTTTAAAAATAGACTGTGGACTATATCCCCCCCCCCAAAAAAAAAATTGGCATTACTAAGAGTCAATTGCTTATTGCAATCAGCTATTGCAATTTTAGGTAAAACTTTTTCTTACTCATAATTTAATTTTTTGACTAACTTCAAGATAGCTCCATGAGTAATCTTTAAACCTCACATAGACCTAACACTGACACAACAAAAGAACACAACCAACAACTACATGAGCCAAAATAAATATAGAGACCTGAGAGATAAATACAGCAACTTCAAAGCATTCTCTACAGATGGATCAAAAATCCTGGACAGAACAGGTGTTGCAGTCAGCAACAGACAAGTCCACAAATTAGACTGCCAAACAATGCATCCATTTATATAACTGTGGCAGACATGAGACAGAACCTGGGACGAGCACAACTGGTTGCGACTTGCCTTGTCCCCACCAAAAAGAGCCCGTATTTGCATATAAAGCTACTGCAGTTGAAATGAGGGAGAAAAAAGCACTTACCGCTCTGCTGTAATCCGTCCTCGGCCAGATAAAGTAAAAGAATGAGGGGGGACTTGCATTTTTATGCAATAAAGATGCAATGCATTATGGGACATGGACGCAATGAATTATGGGATCACATGAAGACGTAAGGGATTATGGGTATATGGACAAATATAAAAGCAACTACTTTTTCCCAGTGGGGGGAGTTCTTCGAGTGATGTTCATGGTTGGCGGCTAGAAAGTCTGTTAGTGCGATTTTGAGACAGAACTCAAGAAGGAACGACTCTAGGTTGGAATACCAGTTGGGAGAGCTTGAATTTACTCGCTGGTTGCTGTTTTCTTTATTTGCCACAATAACTGAGCTACAAGTCATAAAAATGGTGCTTGAAATGATCAAAATCTCGGAAGACAGAAAATTCTTAATATTTTCAGACTCCCTATCTAACCTCACAGCAAGGGAAAAAAATCCAAACCACCCTTACAAACATGAAACATTGGAAGCCTATTTGATAAAAATCCACAAAAAAATAATCTTGGCCTGGCCCTCTAGACATGTTGGCATTAAGAGAAATCGAAAAGCTGATGCACTGGCAAAGGAAGCAACCAAAATGGCAATAACCAACATTAGACTCTCATATACAGATTACAAAACTAAGATCACACAATACATTAAATGAAAATGGCAAACAATTTGGGATACCTTTCCAAACAACAAGCTGTACGAACATCAGTCGAAAGTCGGACTGGAAAATAGAGATCCATTACCTGATCAAAGACAAGACATAGTACTTAGTCTGAATTGAACATGTATGCAAATATTTACTCAAAGCAGAAACTGCACCTTGGTGCATCTCTTGTGATCAATTGCACATCCTAATAGACTACCAAAAAAACCTGCAACAAATACAATGATGTACAAAACCTTACCATACTTTTCAAAAATGTATCAGTTTCTCAAATGATAGGTTACCTGAAAGAAGTATGCTGCTTCCAGCACTTATAGAAAGCTAGCACAATACATCTTATCTATAAACTATATATCTAAAAAACCATGTTTACCCTGAAAGTATAATTGTGTACAAAATGTCTGTAGTTGAAGGCATAAAGTTGTGTACAAAATATTTGGATTTTGGTATTGAGTAGCTTGTGGGGGCTGTCATGCCACTGAACAAAATCAACCAACCAACCACTTTGGCATTAATGAGCCATAGTGGTTGATATACCAGTTAAATAACCAACCAACCAATCAATCATTCCAATATATGAACACTAGTTTTCTAGAATGTTCTCAAGAAAAACAGTGAAATTTTCAACTGAATTGGATAGTACAGTTTTCTTATTTTATAAACAAATTTAATCTAGAAGTTCTTTTAATATGTGAGTTGATTAATTATTATAAATTAGCAAATAGAGCTTTTCCTTTTTGTCAATTCATTTTATCCTTTTTGTGATAGAGATGTAATATTTTTCAAATTGTCTTGATTGTATAAAAGATTAAATGTTGTCATTGATTTTGTGAAACATTCATTTTAGGAAATTACATGCATTAAGATACTAACCTTCAGTCGTTTATAAAATAAACTAAGGTAGTTAAATAATTTCTATTGATCCTGGTGTACTGACATATATCTTTTCTTTTAATGTTGTTTGTGCAGGATGAAAATTTTAAAAAAAAAATAATAATAAAAAATATTTTTATTCTGGAAAAACTTTTTATAGCATAAATTTGACCAGAAAATTCTTAAATTAGTTATAATGCTTCTATATCCAGTTATTGACTATATCATAATTTGAGGAATTAAATTTTTCAAGATGTTTATGTCAGAAAACCAAAGCCAAAAAACATAATCAAATAATAGCAATATTCTTAAAACTGAATATAAACATATTCAGTTTTGCTTAATGTCTTCTGTATCAATGTTAAAACAAAGGATGAAAGTATTTCTGAAAAACACTTTTCTAGGTAAATAATATTTCATTAACAAGATTTTTGTAAACAGTTATGAGAGATTTTTTTGTTTATATTACAATGTCTATAGTAATTTATATTAGCATCTAATAAAACTGTACTTTGAAATATGTTGTCATATACATAAAACTGATATTCTCATAGTAATAGAAAATGTTTTTTGGTATTTTAGGTTGATGTCTTATATCCATATCATCCAAATTGCCGAGTTGATATTAAATCAGAATCTAGAATTAAATGTACATCCCAGGAAAGTGAAGATCGGTTAGAAAGACTCAGTAAGTATTTTATCAACTAGATTTTCTTCTGTAACATTTTTTTTCATTTAATGTGCTTGTTTTTGTTTTTTTTACCAATTTTGGAATATTTTAATCCAAAATAGCTACAATTGTCTTGAAAGGAAACTATTTAAATATTAGTAGATACTTAGCTAAGCTTTTAGTTATTTTTTCTTTTTTTTTGTTGCATTGCTAAAAAGATATACATTTTTCTTCCAAGCTAAAATAGAAAATTTACCTACAATTTTTTAGAACATGAAATTTCCAATCTTGCAAAGTATTTGTTTTAAGCAGACTTAAAATTAATCTACTGATATTATCTTTTAATTTTGCAATTTTTGATAGATAAAACTTTTTAGAATTTTGGGAAATTAAATAAAATGTATTTCTGAAGTGGGATGAATGAAATTAAAAAAACATTGAATTTATTATAAATTAATGTATAAAATTTTGACTGGTTTAATTTATGCCTAATTTTTGTTATCAGATAAAACTGAAACTTGGCAAGACCCTAAGTTTTCCACTGAGTGTTTCTTCTTGACCCTACATTGCCACCATATTTCTATCCTGCCTATTTCAAGAAAGTATCAGCGCCGTCTTGTCATTATCAGAAATTTACATAGGGTCATTGAAGAGTTAGAAAGCACAGAAACCCAATGGAAAGATACACTAATAGCTGCAAGAAACAGAGAATCATTAAAGAAGTGGAAAGCTCAAGTTAAGGTAATTATGACTAACTCCTCTAATTTTATTCAATGTTTATATACAATTTGCAAAGATAATTCATAGTTTTTAGTCATTTTTTGCTTAACTGGATGGTAACAGTAGTGCTACTTTGAATAAATAATGATTTAAGATTTAAAATTTGACTAATAGAGACTTGACGTTTTCAATCAAGTTTTGTTCGCCATACTGACAATGATATCCACTTTGCTGAAGTAGTTACTTGTAAAGATTCCTGTAGGAAATTGTATGATTCTTGTTTAAGCTTTAGCCTGAATAGAAATTTTAACAATGAAAGTGAACATTCTGCTATAATTTTTTTATTGATTTTATTCGTTCTTATAAATAAATATAAACAGAAATACTTAGTATTTTTTAATTTTTATTATTTACTTCTGTATTTCCTGATCAATTCTTTCATGATCTAATGTTTTTAACAGAAGATAGCTTCCACCCTGCTGAAAAAAGGCATTAGGTGTTTGTATAATTACCATTGTGCAACATAGTAAACACTTATAAAAATAACATATTTATTAAGTTACACATGTTCCTATTAAAGTTTTAATCCCACATAAAAAATATCAGCTATTCACAAAATGAAATGTGTTGTTTCAAAAAATCAACATTTAAAATTACAAAAAACTTGATTATAATGGTAGCTTTCACTACACATTGTATATTTTAAAAATATATGCAAAAAGATTAAATGAGTTAATATGTAAGTAATGTGATTGGTGCATAGAATGGGAGGAAGAGGTGAGTCATTGTGGAAGGGTTAGGAGAGGAATGTAAACTGAGGAATGGTTTTTGATTAGGATTCTATCACAAGCTTGTTACCACTATAATTATAAGGAGAGGTATTGATGCTCTATTTGGAAATTAGTGATGAAGACCACAAAGATGCAGGGGAAAGTGATGCTAGATTAAAGGAGGGAGCTTTCATAACGTATGGCAAGTTGGGGAAAACGAGATGGAGTGGGAAGCAAGTGGATGTGTATGCTATTGAAATCTGGAGATTGTTGGGACTGGCAGGATTTTCAGAAGAATGGTTGAAGAGGATTATAAAACTAGTATCCATGACTAACTCCTTGGATCACATCTTGGTAGCACTGAAACAGTTGCCAAATATCAGCACCATTGCAATTAAAGACTTAATGATGGGTACTAGGATGCTGAACATTTTAAAACCAAAAATGTCTAAATAGAGTAGTGGCTATTGTGAAAAAAGGGTCAAAGTGACATATCAAAGGTAATGGGAGTTGAGAAGGAGAACAAAGTTCCATGAAAAAAAGATGTGTAGAAAGGAATTATTTTCAGCATGCAGAAAATTTGTAGGGCACTATCCTGTTGCTGGGTGACTTTAGACTGCATGTAACTATATAATGAAAGAATAGGAACAGACTGAAAAAATAAGGTGGGTGAAAGGATGATTGCCATGATGAAGAATATTGTGGAAGTGTTGGAATGGGAAAACCCAATGAGAGGATAGGGATATGTGCCTGAAATCGAGGGTGATGTTGTATGGTATGGCATTGGGCAGATAATGCAGCATGGCTTGGAAAAAGACTATGCCAGTCATATTAATATACACAAATTGGATACTGTTATGTCTTCATTCCATTGAATAAAGATAGCACAATCATGAGATATAATGTTGGTTGAAGTCGACATAGTCTTACTGAATTCTGTAGTAAGGATATAAGGTTTGCTCCTGACTAGCTCTGTTTATTCTCAGCATCTGTATATATGCTATTTGGATGAGTCTAAGTCATATTCTGGAGTGGTGTATTCATCTCCACAACACCTCCCTTTTTTAGTATACACTTTCTTTAGTCAATACCTTTTCCAACATGGGTCCACTTCCAACGTTTCAGTTGAATTACATTTTTGCTTACCCTGGCATATTGTAATATTAGTTTTAGGAATAGTTACTTCAAAGGTATCGTAAAGTATAGTATGTCCATCAGTGAATTAAATTGTACTGGTTGCTTATTCTGATCTTGTTGATGTGTCCTCCATCTATTGGCTTTTTTCTCCTATATTTTGGATTGAAGTCATTCTCTTATTTAAATTTAAATCAAAGGGGAAAAAAATTTCACAGTCCTTTGAGCAAAATGAAATATACTTATCCAAGTATCCTAGGAGTCATTCCTATGTTCAAATTTAAATTTGATTTATATCAAAGGGGAAAAACTTTTCAGTGGAAGGTACCCCCCACCCACACCTCAGGGGAATCCCCCACCTTGATCAAAATGAAATATACTTATCCAAATACTCTGGGTAATGTAGTTTCAGAGTATATATGGTTGTAGGAGGAGTTTGATAACAAACAAACAGACAGAGGATACAACTTTATATATAGATTTATGTGCTAAATATGTACATATTGCAAGCACTCCTGAATAATCTAATTAAGAAGGGTATGAAATAGAATTGGCTGGTGGAATGTCAGAAAGCTTTTGAAGGAAAATTTGAATTTTGTGCATGTCTAGACCTTATTGATTTGTATGTTTTCTGTATTGAAATCGTCCACCTTCGGCACTGTACTGTATGATGTACATTGTTGAAAGTAGACGTTTTCGTTGAATAGGCAAATTGAATAATTTTTCCTTCTTGCCAATTTTTATTTCTGGCCTTAAAGCTTTTAAAGAAGACTTTATTGCCGATCTTAAATGATCCGCTAGTTTCAAATTGTTGAATTTTCTTTTTATTCCCTGGTAGTAAGTAGTTTGTGGAAAATGGATCTAACTTTTCTAGCAAACATGAGCTCTGCAGGTAAGATTTTTGTGATACTTGCATTTAACGTTGTTTGATATATTCTTGTAGTGTTGTTTTTTCAGCTTGGAAGCTGAAAAAACAACTAATTTATGGGTGGTGATTTTCTTAATGCCCTTTTTAAGGTGTCAACAAACCACTTACCATGACCATTTGACCTCACATCATAAATTAGTGTTTTTGCAGAAATTAAGTAAATTGAAATTCATTATTGGATACCACACTGTTAGTTAATCCAAATCTTGCAAAAAGTTCACGTAAGAATTTAATCATCATTGCTTCATAGGTCATTTACATTTTAATATCTCGGACTATTTTCTGAAACTGTTGATCACAATTAAATGGTATGAACTGTTTGTGGTTCAGCAAAGTTCATATGTAGTTTTGCTCATGGTTTATCAGTGTTCAGCCATGTCTGATAATTTATGGGTGGTGATTTTGTTGCTGAATTACATTTTCTAACTTTATTTTGAATATCTTTGTCCAACTTTGGCCAATAAATGTAGCTTCTCATCAGGGACTTCATCCTCACTATTGCCAGATGTCCAATATGGAATTGTTCCAAAATCCTTTTTTGTAGAGATAACGGAATTACTACTCTTTCCACGTACATCACAAATAGAAAATGCTGTATTATTGCTATCAGGTTTAATTTTAGTTTTAGTTCATTTTGACTTAATGTCATTCATAGTTTTTTTTGAATAAATGTATCCTTTTTAGAATGAATTTTGGTAATGTCTATTGTGACCGGTAATTCTTTAATAGTATTACATGCAAGGCTTTTAATTTCACTTTCGGATCAGCTATGCAATCACAGTAAACCTTCTTTACATTTTGATTACAATCTGGACAAGCCATCTGCATGTCTCAATTTTTTTGACAATAGAAATTCCATCTTGAAAACATAGTTCAATAAAATTGTAGCCCAACACTGTAGTTTGTTTGCAGTATATGTGGGAATCTCCTTTTTAGAACCGAATATCCTTAATAATAGATGATGATCAGTTTGCAGTATGATTTTTATTCCTAATATCATCCTGTGAAATTTCTTTACAGCAAAAATTATACCAAGCATTTTCTTTTCAATTTGACTGTAGCATTTTTCTGTATTTGTCAAACTTTTTGAAGCATGGGTAACTGCTTTCACTGTACTGTCTTTGAAATTTATGGCCTGTTACCTTTCCTATGCCGTACTCGCTTGCATCTGATGCTACTATTATCTGTCGCTGTGGGTCATAATTTGTCAACAATAACTCTGAAGTTTGTAGTTTTTTAATTCCTTCAAAAGCTTTTTGTCATTCCACCAGCCAATTCTATTTCATACCCTTCTTACGTAGATTATTCAGGAGTGCTTGCAATATGTACATATTTAGCACATAAATCTATATATAAAGTTGTATCCTCTGTCTGTTTGTTTGTTATCAAACTCCTCCTACAACCATATATACTCTGAAACTACATTACCCAGAGTATTTGGATAAGTATATTTCATTTTGATCAAGGTGGGGGATTCCTCCGAGGTGGGGGTGGAGGTACTTCCCACTGAGTTTTTCCCCTTTGATATAAATTAAATTTAAATTTGAACATGGGAATGACTCCTAGGATACTTGGATAAATATATTTCATTTTGCTCAAAGGCACCCACCCCCAGCCTTGGGAAATTTTTTTTTCCCTTTGATTTAAATTTGAATAAAGAGAATGACTTCTCTCCAAAATATAGGAGGAGAAAGTTAAAAGATGGAGGACACATCAGCAAGATCAGAATGAGACAATGAGGACATTGTTGAGCAAGAAATCACCAATCAGTGGGTGGTGCCTTAGAATATATATTTGTTATGACAATTCAACTGTCATATCAATGTTGAAATTTGCTCATCACTTCATTCAATCAAGTATTGCATCAAACACATCAAAGGAGTCAGATCAACCTGTTTTTGCACAAACCCCCACTGAAAACTTTTTCTCTTTGATTTAAATTTGAACAAAGGAATGACTCATATCCAAAATATGGAAGGAGAAAGCCAGAAGATGGAGGTCACATCAGCAAGATTATTGAGTAATATTGAAATGCATCATTTTTCTTCACAAATTATAACAATTTAAAATCAATCATCATTTTCTTACAAAAAAATGTATGTGTGACACACAGCAAGGCATGAGTAATTCGGCTAGTATTATAATAAATTGCTAATCTAAGAAATGATTGTAGGGTCACCAAATTTGTC